TAAATATGCAAAGTAGCTACTTATTAAACACCAAATATGCACATAGGCTACTTAATAAACACCAAATATGCAAAGTAGCTACTTAATAAACTCCAAAAATACAAAGTAGCTAATTATTAAAAACCAACCTGTAAGATGATCAATGGTGTATGGTGCTATACCCAAAGGTTTGTCAGAATCTCCATATCCTCTCATATCTATGGCAACGACTCTGTAAAGAATTAAAAAAACACATATTTTGTAACATATATTGTACTGTGGTACATAAATTGGTCATGGTTTTAAAATCCTGCTTGATTTTGATTCTCAGCATTGAACTGCCACAAAATATTTTAAAAGAAAAGTGTATACTGGATATATACCAAATTTTATCTAAGGGAGGATCTTTAAAATATTTACAACCAAATGCGGATATTTTAACAGCAGTTTTGAATATGATAATGTCAAATAAAAAAATACTGAGTTTCTGGTTACAAAAAATCAGGTAGGTAGGTTAGTATAACTTTTTTTTATATATGTTGATGTATTAATTGTGGTCAACAAGATGCTGCTGGACAGGAGCATTTCCATTGATGTATGCATACAGGATACTATTTTCATTTGAAGAATTTACACAGTATGTTAACAGAAACAGGAAGTGACCACTTTTAGTTTGGCCATGAAAAGAAATATGTGTCGGCATGGTTGGGGTACCCAAAAAACATCATTTTTTTTCTATTTGGCCTAATTATCCAAGGATGTTTGCATATCTCTAGGAATACCAATAACATTATATACCGGGGGTAAATATGAATTCTAGGTTGCAAAGGTGTATATATGGGGAGCACCATGCTGTTGCTATCTCATCACACCACAGTCTGATTGTAATCTGATGTAGGTATAGTATAATTTTGTTTTAATTTTTATATATTTTTCATTGTTATTTCTGTTTATTTATGAATATTATGTTGTTTACTTGCCATTAATTAATGAGTTATTCATATGAAATCCTGGTAATTAAGGCTACTAGATATTCAAAAAATAACAACTGCAAGTGTAACCAAAAATTATTCATAAATAAACAAAAATAACAATAAAATATACAAAACTAAAAACAAAAATGTAGCATACACCTACATCAGATTGTAATGAATCAGATTGATCACACTGTACAAAAGAAAACAATACTAAAACTCAAGTAAATATTTAAATTACAGACATTAGATATTTA